CACTAATACAAACAAACTGAAAGAACCCATTTCAATAAATCCAAAAAGTAAACCCCTACAAATATTTTCAAATGTAGTAATCTCGATACAAAACTGACCAAAAGAAGAGATTAGAGCTGTAACTGTTTGGGTTTTTGTTTTTTTCATACCAAAGGAAAACAGCCTACTGAGAATGTTTTTCGCAATGTAAAGGTAGGCATATACCATTGGTACAATAATACAAGGTGATAAAAAAAGCAAAAAAACTTTACAACTTGTTTTTTTTTTATATTCCTCCATACGAAAGTTTTGCTTTTCAAATTTCAACATAATATTAGGAAGCCAAAAAGAATTTGTCTGATATTCATTTTAGATAAGTTCATTGCAAGGTTTTGCTATATATGACGCATTAAAAAAACAACCCCTTTTCAGCCTTGTCCCCATTTTTGTAGCATGACGCACCAGTTCGCATTAGATTTGCCCCTAAAAGTCGCAATTATCGCGCCGTATTGCGAGCTACAGCAGTCTATTTCGTTTGCCTTCTGAAATCATGGTTAAGTTTAGTAAAGAGCATGGAGTTTTTTGTATTGAGCATTACATCTCCACAAACGCACCATCACTGACATTTCGTAAGTTCTGCGCACAGCATGGAAAGAATGCTTAGGTGCCCTCAAAACCTTTTGTGTTATGAGTAGAGAAGTACCTTCAGTTTTCATCTATAGCGAATCAAACTAAAAATTCCTTTTAGTCGAGTCCCATGAGACGTCTATCCAAGTACGATATGTAGCTTGGACTTTCCTATACCGCAACAGTTGCCATTCTCAGGGCAGATCTTAATTAACAACTGCCCCATTCTCATCTTCGCTAGGCCGAGATGACATGCATTTACGTATGGCAATGTATTCATGATTCCTCGATTGTCTTGAAAATCGGGATCATTTCTTCGATAACATTTGGTTTAGTGGAAAGCCTGTTTTCACCCAGCGGGCTGTGTTGACTCTAAAATTGCTGTCTATTGGGCACCCCACTCCCTGTTGTCTCTAGAAGCCGCTTCATACTGAATATGTACAGTGCATGTGGCTTTAAACACGTATGAGTTGGCAGGTCCTTGTGTTTGGGAGCCATTGAACATTTCGAACGACGCGTTAAACATGTGTTAAGTCCAAAGGAGAGCATGCACTGCTTCTAGGGATTCCAGAATGAAATCGTTAGTTTTTAAACTTTGTAAAAGAAATTGAATAATGTTTAAATGTTACAGGGACCTAAAATTAACTGTCAAAGAGAAAATAAAGAAAAAAGTCAACTAATCTTTTCACGACTTCCTTTACAATTTTATTTTAAAATGGCGAACTTTGCGTTTTGAGGGGGCTTTTTCTTTAAGCAATTTCGGTTTTCAAAATAAGTTTTTTCTTCGTGGATTTTTTTGTTAAACAAATTCCTTTTGAATGAATTATATTTGTTCCAAATTACAACGTTCTATTTTTGAGCGAGATATTCAGAGAAAAAAAATTGTACAGTTTGTTGTTGTTTTTTTATCACCCTGTATATTGAAAGAGGGGCGTAACATTTTATACGATGAGCGAATTGAAGGCCGTCAAATGCCTGCAAACACTGAAATAATGCTGAACACAATGAAAAAAATATTTCGTGACGACATAAGTTCAACCTTCATTCGTGTCATTGCTGATGCCCTGGATTTTTGCAAGTGTACAGTTAACAGAGCTGGTTTTATTGAGCTGGGCATAGAAAAGTGTCACCTCGGTGGATTCGAAAACAGTTGACAGATGACTTCAAGACACAGCACATCAGTGATGTCCGCACGCCGGTCGTACCTTAGAATTACAAACTTCAACCTGACCATGAGGTCAGACCCCCCCTCCCAAAAGAAAAATAATAAATAAATAAATTTTTTTAAAAGTAATGTTCTTTTTGCTCTATCAAAACATCAAGATTATTCGTAGTCATTATCAAGATATTCAAAGAATTGCATTCGAAAAAGCTTGACATACTATGAAACTCAAATTTTTTTAATATTATCAAATTTCTCAAAACTAGTTACTGCGCAGATAGAGCGTTGTAAATCTAAGGTAACGCGTTACTGGCAACATGGAACCTGGTCCTGCTGGTGACGTCTAAGGATATAACGAAATCATTTGGGATCAGCATCCTGATCTCGCCCCTTCAGATTTCCAGCTGTCTGGACTTGTGCAGCGATATCTAGCAGGGGAAAAATCATGGATGGCACACACTTGCGGAGCACATTAGAAGCTGGCTTTGGTTGCTTGACACAAAATTCCTACAGGAATGACACGCATTTATTCATCCAGCGTTGGGAAAATACTTGACTGCCCACAGCTAGTGACTACTTGGAGAAATAAAGGAACGTTAAGCTAACTGTGTAGGTTGTACCTCAATCGTGACAAAACATATCATATTATAGTCCTTTCTTGTTAAATCTTGACCGTACCTCTAATTAGAGCATGTGTGTGCATATGTGTGTGTGTGCGTGTGCGTGTGTGTG